GGAATGAACAGAACTAGGAGAACATTGCACACAGTAATATCAGTACTGTATTGATGATCAACTATGAAAGACTTAGTTACCTCCATCAATATACTGATCCAAGATAATTCCAAAGGATTCATGATGACAAATGCTATTCCCCTCCAGACAAAGAACTGATGAGCTCTCAGTACAGATTGAAGCATACTTTTTCACTTTATTTTTCTTGCTTTTTTTTTTTTGCAATATGGCTAATATGAAAATATATCTTGCATGGAAAAAAAAATGAGCTCATTGAGAGCAACCTTTCTTTGTATTCCCAGCACATAGCACATAGGTGCTAAATAAATGCTTGTTGACTTTCTCCAATTGCCCCAATAGATTTCTGCATAGAGATGATAAAAATGAAACCATGGGAGCTGATAAGATCACCTAAAAAAATTATATAGAGGAAAATGTGAAGAGAGCCCAGGACAGAGTCTTGAAGGATCTCTCACTGTTAGCAGGAAAGACCTGGATAAAAATCCAGGAAAGGAGAGAGAGTACAAACAATCAATAGGTAGAAGAACCAGGAAAGAGTAAATAGGGTAAGAATGTCTAGAGAGAAAAGAGTATCAAGAAGAGGGTGATCAAAAGGGTCAAAGGATGCTGAGAGGTCAAGAAGGATCAAAACTAAGAAAAGAATATTATATTTGGCAATTTTAAAAACACTAGGAATTTTTGAAAGAGCAGTTTAGGTTGAATGATGAGGTCACAAGAGTTGTGAAGACAGTGAGAGGAAAAGTTGTGGAAATTATTATTGTAGGCAGCTATCTTAAGGAGTTTAGCTACAGAAGGAAGGAGAAATACAGGAGAATAGATAGCAGGGATGGATGGATTAAGCGAGGGTTGTTTTCTTAGAATGCAAGAAACATGTGCGTGTTTGTAGGCAGTAAGGAAGCAGCCAGTAGACAGGTAGAGATTGAAGATAAGTGAAAGAGTTGGAATTGTAGGAGGGGTGGAGAAGATGGGAAGAAATGGGATCACTTACGCATGTAGAGTGGTTGACTTTGTCCATCAAAAAAGCTACCTCTTTGTGTGAAAAAGGGAAGAGGAGATAGTGATGGAAAGTATCTGAGTGATGTGAAAAGAAGAAGAGGGGAGAAGACAGATTTCTCTGCCGATGGCCTCAATTTTTTCAGTGAAATATGAACTGACATTCTCTTCTGAGAGATGGAAAAAGGAAAGCCATTGGCAGTTTGAGGAAAGATGAAAAAGTTCAGAAAAGCCACTGTAGTAAGCATGATATGAATTGATTGGGAAGGGTTGTCTTTAGCAGTGAGGGTCCAGTTTAGATTCTGTAAATTAAACTAGTAGTTATCCCATTAAATATAGTTTCTTGATTTTTTTTCCAACTCCTTTACACAGTATGTGAATAGGAAGTGGTTAATAGGAGAAATCCAAGGCTATGGTTTGGTAGGATAAGATCTTCTTCTATAAGAATAAAGGGGTAAGGGACTCAAGAGAAAAACACAAAGTAGAGTTGAACTGTTTTAGCTGGTAGCCAAGATGGGGATGGCAAGAGAATGTAGCCAGTGCAGGGTTGATTGTTTGGGAAAGAACTGAGCAGTCAAAGATTTGGAGATTATGGTGAGGAAGCCCAACAGAATATGGAATTATAAGGCAAAGAAAGAGGTTAAATGACTACAGATTATGTTCAAATAAAGGATTTTTCTGAATTCATAAACGTGGATGTGGAACACTTATGGATGATAGCAAAATCAAAGTTATGACCATCTCTGTTTGTAATTGTTGTGGGAATAAAGGAATAGTTCATGGAAAGTGAGTAACTTGAGGAATTTAGGGGTTATGATATTTGAAAGAGTATGTTGAAGTTCCCTAGTATGAAGGTACGAGTAGGTAGGAGAGAAAGACTGCGACCCAAGAACTGAACTGATTGAGAAAAGGAATATTCTGGAGGTCAGTAGACAACAGCTCCCAGAAATTTGATTGGATAAAATGTACATACTAAAAGAACCACAAAGAAGCAGAGGTTAAAGAGTAATACTGGCAGAGGCAGAGCCAACAAGTGGCAATGGGGAGCAAAGAGTAATTAAATTCCCCCACCATGACCAGGGGACCCAATAATAATGCAACCATTGTTGGAAAGAGCATCCAGGAAAGCTGTCATCAGGAGGGAAACAGGTCTGGGTGAGTGCATGAAAATTGAGAGAGTGAAAAAGGAAAGTTTTAAAACAAAATCTAGTTTGTTATCTATGAAACAGGCATTCCAGAGAACACTATGGGAGAGTTGGGAAGCTTTAGAGTGGGAGTTTGGTTGGGGGGAGGGGACAGTTAGGTTGAGAAGGATAGAGATAAAGGAACAGTCAATGGAGAGTGGTTAACAGGTTTTAAATACCAATGGAACATTTAGAATCAACAGGATGGGGTGAGTAGGACTGGGTGGAAATATGTTAATTACTAAAGGAATGAGTTCAGGTAGATTATCATTGTCCTCTGAAGTTTGTCCTTGGGTAGAGCAGTCCTAGGTAGGAATGAGACAGTTATATAGGGCTAGAAAATGGGGGAGGAGGGAGGGAAGGCAAGGAGGGCTACCTAGAGGGTGGGTAAGGAAAAGGCCTATAACCCTGAGGAGCTATAACTAGCCACAGATGGGACCTGTTTGGAGTGAGATGGAAAGGAAAACAGATCCAAAAACTATGCTTGCATAGAGAATCATGCAGCAGGACAACTAGAAGTTACCCCCAAAAGAAAAAGCATCTGTGTAATGGGAAGTCAGGATATATGGTATCTAGCCTCAGCTCTGCTGCTAACTTGCTATGGAACTTTGGGCAAGTTACTTCGGCTATCTTGACCTTATTTCTTTCATTCTGTAAAATTAAAGGGTTAGACTGAATGATCTTTAAAATCCTTCTACTTCTAAAATGAAATCATCCTACCTTAATATCTTCAGTCAGATAAGCCAGTGTTTACATTTTACAGAAGTGGTAACTGAGGCCTAAAGAGATTGTCACATGTTCCAAGTCCCATAACTAATAAGTGGTAGAAATTAGGAAGGGGCACCTAGGTTAGAACTAAAAAGAGACCCCAGCTCTTCCGCTTCCCTAGGACAGTGTTGTCATTCTATACTATAATAAATCCAAACAAAAGCTTAAGTCAGTTACAGGCTATCAGTCATTACCCTTCCAATATCCTATCACAGGCATACTTACAGAATATTCAAGGTGAACCCAAGCATAACTAACATGGCCATAGTCATATCACGGGACATCTTGGGATCATAGGATCATAAATTTAGAACTGAGAGGGATCTGTGACATCTTCAAGTCCAAGTCTCACCTTTTATGGATGAGGGAACTGGGCTGCAGAGATAGTAAATTACTTCCCTAGGTAAGTGTCTGCTAAGTGTCTGAGGTGTGATATGATCTCAAATCAAGTTTTCTCCCTTCTCCCCCATCCCTCATCTCTCAGTACTAAAAGAGGTTATCCCAGTCCCTGGGGATATTTAGTTGCTATAGCCACAACCACTGTTACTACTGCAATCTTCTTTGACTTCCTGTTCACTATCCTTATCCTGCTTTTTTTGAGACTGTGGAACAGGAGAAAAAAGGAACTTCTACTGACTTGTTGACCTCTCTGTCCAGACCCTCTAATGAAGTAGTTCTTAATTTTTTTATAATATGGCCCCCTTTGTTAGTTTCCTGAAGTTTTTAGACCCTTCAGAATAATATCTATTGCCTATATTCATAAGAGAAGGAAATACTATCTTTCAACTAGAAGTTAGTGAAAATAAAAATACTGTTTTCCTTTCCAAGTTCACGGACCCCTGCAATCTATTGGTAGACCTTTTGGGAATCTAGGGACCCCTGGTTAAGAACTCCAGCTCTAATACATTCCAGAGTCTTCCAAAGAGTCTTGCCTCACCTATTCTGTGCCCCTTTCTGCTTCCCAAAGCCTGATTCCTATAAAGGTCAGGTCTTCTGCTTGCCCACTTTCTCATTCCCAAGAGATCTTCCTTCCCTCCTGTCCAGAGACTCCAAACAGCCACAGTCAGATTGATTAAGGAAAAATCAGTCAGACTTGTTTTCTTTCCCCTTTTGACTCCATTTACTACTTTATTTTTCCATGGCTCAGCCCATACTATATGGCCCTGGTGATCTGATAGGCACAGGAAAGGGAAAAAACAAAAAAAATAAAATCTTATTAAAAAAAAAAAACAAATAGTATCTGGCCACCAGTCCTTAAACTCCACTATTAGCCATTTATGAAAAGAAAGTATAGGGCTAAGGGAACAATTGGAATTATACCTTTTTAGCCAAATGGATAAAGTTAGAAAAGTTTTTTCCTGTATTTTGGGGTAAAGGAATGGGTTTGATTAAAAGTTTAAAAGTTTGGTTTTTTTAAGTGAAGTCTAGTTGTTAGTTTTTTTAATTAAATTTTAAGTTTTCTTAGTTGGTTTGATAAATAAAAATGACATATATTATTATTGAGTAATCAACAGTTTACTCCATTTAAAAATAAATGAATAAAATTCTCTGGGTATACACCATAAAAAAATGGTCTCCATATGTCTATGTATGCTATGTAATGATGATAAAGATCTGGCTAACTGGTTAATAAGATGGTGGCTCAGAATAGCATTTGGATGGCCTAAAATATAGCCTGTTGGCCAGGCTGAGAGCATACCTAATGATTGCTGGCAAAAACACATTTGAACATCACATGATCAGTGAGATAGATGATAGAGTAGTTGTTTTTACCATAACTCCTCTAATCTAGGAACTTCAAACAAAAGAAAAATGTGCCAAATCAATAGTAATTGAAGCTGTGTCCAAAGATAAGAAGAAAAAAAAACACTGTATACAGTAAAAAGTCTTATGAAATAATACTGGAGACCTGAAAAAATAAAAGCTCCCACTTATATTCCCCTGCAGTCCCCAGGCCTCCTCACATGCCAGGCATAGCCAACATAAACAATCTGCCAAGTTTGAGTTTCATGATTGAGATATTATAGTCCCTACCTGGTTCTCCTCACCCACCCAGCAACTCCATAGACATGGCAATGACAGTCTAAATTCCTCACACCCAAAAAAAGGCAGAAAGAGCTGTTCATGTCCAGTCACTGAAAAAAAAAAAAAATGGAATGCAATCAGGAATAAGGTGAAAGATACAACCGTGGAGAGCCAGTCAGAGTAAAAGGGAGAGCCAACACTCAAGAAAAAGGGGGATAGAAATCTAGCAGTGATAAATCATTTTCTGGTAGAGATAACCCAAGACAGGGACTCAGATGGTCCCTATCCTCCAATCTGGAGGAGACTGAGGATACACCTTGCCTCCGTAGTCTTTGTAGGAGAAAGTTTATCACAGCAGTCCAGGAAGATAGAACCAAAGACTGAGGAATGGATCAAAAAACAAAAATTTTGGGAAAAGATAGAAAAAGAAATGAAAGGTAAAGACTCTAAAGGAGAAAGACAAGCTGTAAGCCAAGCTTCCAGCAGATAAACCAGCATGAAATATATATATAGAAGAAAAAATTAAGAATTTTTTAAACCTGAATTTAAAATACTGAATTTAAAAGAAAATTAATCAGCACAAGACAATTCTGTGAATTCCTTGGGGTGCATGGAACAAAAACAAGAAACTCTAGACTGGTTCAAAATAAAAATAATACTTTTAAAAGAAGACATAAGGATGGAAATTAGGTTGAGAATCAAATCTTTTGAAGCAGAAACAAATAAATCATTCAAAGAATACATGATGGAACAATCTCTTCAAAGTAGTAAAGTCTCTAAAAACAAATAATGACTGAATTAAAATGCAGAAGAGGAAAGAAATTTAGCAGAAAAGCAAAAGACAAAATTTTTAAAGAACATATGAATTTCATATAAGCCAATGTAACTAACCTTAAAAATGCAGAGTACAGAAATAATTTCAGTATCATGGGTCTTTTGGGGGAAAAAAATACGTGAATTCAAGAGTCTAAATAATACAGTATAAGAATTAAGAAAACTTCCCAGAAGTTTTGAAAACAGACAACAGGAGAACCAATAAAACAGTATTTATGCTAGCAGTCATGTAAATAGAAAGAAAAAAGCAAGAAAACACTCAAACTCAATGTTGCAAAGCTATCATCACAAAGCTTTGTCCCCAAATAGGACAAAACTTTTTCCCCTACATATTTGCTGAGACAGGGGCCCATAGGTATGGGAGGCTGTAAGCAGCCAGATTTTTCAATATTTTGATTAGTTGGGGGGGAGGGGGAGGGGCCAGAGAGAGAGAGAGGTAGGTACAAGAGGAAACATAGGTGATATAAGAACCAAAAATAGAAATAAATAACTATTTTTGTAAAAAAAAAAAATTTGATCCTTTTAGCAGAATTAAGGTCAATATGAGTCAATAGTAGCAAGAAAAGCTAATTCTGCCTTAGGTTCCATTAAGAAATGAATAATATTCCAGTGAACGAAGGTGATAGTCCCACTGTACTCTGCTGTGGTCAGATCACATTTGGAGTAGTATTTAGCTCTAGGAATAAATTTTTAAGGACATTGACATGCTAGAATATGCAGAGGAATGGTGAAAAGTCTAGAGAATGTGTTATACACAGATCAGTTAAAGGAACTGAGAATGGTTAGTCTTGGGAAGAGAAAACTTGATGGAGTGGGTCATTATAAGGCTTCACATATTTCAAGGGCTACCATGTTGAAGAAAGATTAAATGTTTTTTCTGTTTAGTTTCTAAGAAAAAAAGGTAGAAGTTGCAATACAGGCTGATAGAGGTTTGTTATTAAGAAAAAAAAAATTCTATTAATTAGAGCTCTACTAACTTGGGAGGTAAGAGGTTTCTCCTTACTGGGATTCATCAAACTAAAACTTCGAGTGGCCATCAGCCACTTAACTGATATGCTTTAGAAGGGATAGTTGTTCAGGCACAGGTTGAACTTCTTGCCCTTTGATTTCTCATTCATCTCTGACAATCTGTGATTCTGTATACATGACAATCCTTGCCTTAGAAGCCAAACCAGACTTCTTTCCCTGAAGGGGGAAAAAACCCACAATATTTTCAAAGTTCACAGAAAGTTAGGGGATAAGGAGAAAGGAATGTTTTTTTCTTCCAATGTTTTCTTTTTTTAATTACATATTTCTCAGCTTCCAGATTCAGAAGTTGGAAAAAAAAACTATTGAAATTTTACCAGGGAACACAGTATTCTAGTCTTGACTATCAAATTGAGAACAAAGACCATTCAATTGAACAATATCCATGATCAGAGGATTTACAAGGATATTGTTGAGTTCTGTTTTTCTTCCTAAGCCGAAGGCTACAGAATGTGTTGATTTAATTGAGAGAAAAATTTTGTCACATTCCCTTCCTTTTATTATCATTGAAATCAGGTTTGGTCTGCTTTTTCAATGTATAAAGGGTAGCCAACTCTCCTCAGATTATTTGTGGAATATATTTCATCTTAAACTGAAAGAAAAAAAAAATCCTGCCTTGCAGCTGTGCCTTCCTTCCACCTCCTTTAACTCCCCAGACCTTGGTGTGTGCTCAAGAGTAGTGTAATTGAATGAACTGTGGTCAATTTCTTCTCTACTATTTGGCAATTGCTGTTTTTTTTTTCATAGTCACTTCTGAAGCATTGGACTGTTTTTAACATTTGGTAGTCTCTTAAAGGGTTTTTGGAACTCCCTTAAATACCATTTGTAGTTCAATTTGTCATTATCATGTACAGCCTTTTAAAGTTTGCAAAATACTTTATGTATATTATTCCATTTGATGCTCAATGACAACTCGGTGGTAGTAGCTACACAATAGGAATTTTTATCCCTCTTTTACACATGGAGAAATTGAAGTTCAAAGAAGGTAAGGGAGTTTTACCTGTTATCACATAGATAATTTGAACCCAGGTCTCCATGACTCCAATACTCTACCTACTTTACTGAAATTATTCTGCCATATTGAAATAAAATGGTAGCTGAGAATATTTCCAAATGGATACAAATTCTGATTCAGTGAAATCTGGCTGCTGAGTAGAATTGCAGAAATATGTCACTTAAAGTGACAACTACAGTTCACGGAACCATCCTTTTAATTCTAGGCATATATACATATATATATATATATATATATACACATATATATGTATATATATTCCCCTCCAACCCCAAAAAAATCAAATATGAGCTTAATTGAAGTCATTTTAGTTATTTGCAAAGCTAATTCCTTCCATTAATACTATTTCACTTTGCCTACAATTCCTCCTAACCACAGTGCATTTGTTGATCTGGCCTTTCAGCCTAATCTGTTTAGCTAGGGTACCTATATGCCACAGCAAAGACAAAAGACAAATATGAAATATGGTTTTTCCTCCATGAAGCACAGGTGCAATCCATATCACTTAATAGACAGGGTATTCTAGGAGCTTTGCAACCACTTTTCCAATGACCTCAGGACAAACCTGAACATTGGGTATTTTTCCAGAGCGGAGGAATGAATATAGTGTTCAGAGAAAGGGTGGGGTAGGGTTAGGGGAGGGGCCATAGGGGTGAGGCAGACTACACGCTAGTCATGTAATTAAGGTTACTGTTACCAATTCTTAAAAAGCCTAATCCCAAAGGAGACAGCATGATAGAATAGAAAAAGTACTATATTTGGAAATAAGGAACTTAAGCTATCTGCTTAGCTCTGACTTCTTACTTGTTTGATCTTGGCTAAGTCAGTTAAATTTTGGGGCCTCAGTTTCTTCATTTTTAAAGCTGAGAGAGGTTAGATTAGATGGTTCCTAAGACCTTTACAGCATTAAACTTATGATACCACCCCACACTCCTCCACCTTTCTTTTCATTTCCCTTTTATAAGCTGTCTCCCCCCTCCTTAGAATTTTTGTTCCTTTAGGCCAGAAACCATCTTTATTTTTTAATCTATTTGTATTGTCAATGCTTAACCCAATGCCTAGAACATAGTAAGGGCTTAGTAAATGTTCTATGTAGAGGTAGCCTATGAAAGAACTCCCAGTTCTTATGGTGGTTCTTCATACCTTCTCAAAGGTGCCATTCAATAATCACTACCTATCTATTTATTCTTGCTTATTTATTTATAATATTCTTTTTTTTTAATTCCAAATTTTCTCTTGCTCTCATCAACAATCACTTCTAAAATGTTAAGCCAAAGAAATGTCTAGGGATCAATGCTTCCCTCTACTTTGATGGGAGCAGCGCTTTGCTCTTCTCTTCAAAAGGAGTCTTTCACTTAGTCTAGAAACAAAACATTCTAGTTTGACTCTGGAGTGACCCTTCAAAAGCCTTGAAGGAAAAAAAGTCTTTGTGCCTAGTTTGTGTCTAGTTTTGTTTTTTTTTTTTCTGCAGTTTAAAATGGGGATAATAATAACACCTATCTTGAAGTCCTTAGGCTCAAATGAGATAATCTATGTAAATCATTTTGTGAACCTTAAAGTACTAGATAAGTGTGAGCTATTATTACCTTGTTTTTATCTTTTAAATGGAGCTTAAATAACAATAGTCTTGTAACAAATCACTCTCCTGCCATTATCCTTTTATATTTTACATTCTGTTAATTATTGCACAAGTGGACAAAATTACTGCTTTTTGTAGCTTAATAGAAGTATTATGATATCAGCTCATTCTCACTAAAAGTATCCTTGGTACAGTACCAGTAGGAGACAAGACAAGATGGATGCAATAGACCTCATTCATTCCCACATGATTTTGAACTCCTCTGCTCGATCTCTACATTCTGAAAGCTTTTCTTTTCATGTAGCTTGAAGATTAGGAGTCTTTAATAAGGCAGCATCTATTAAAAACTGTTCATAAGTTTGTATAAACCACTGTTATGTCCAGGAAATTAATAGTTCAGTTTTTGAAAATGGTCTAATTTTAGTGCAGTTTGTTTGTGGAACTCTCCAAGCTTTTTGGTGTCTGTATTTGATATATGGGAATTTTTCATCTATAAGCACATAATTATAATTATTATTAATAATTGCTAGTATTTACATAGCACTTTAATGTTTGCAAAGTACTTTATATGTGTTATATCATTTGATCCTTACAATAACCCTGAGAGATAGATATTAATATCATTACCATTTTACAGGTGAGAAAAGTGA